CCACTGCCCACAATGGATCAATTAACTAAAAAACCCTGGGGATGAGACCCAGGCATGAACCTTTTTTAAAGCTGCCTGGGTGATTCCAACATATAGCCAACTCTTCTCACTGAACTTTGCAAGCCCTGTTCTAGATTTCTAGACATGATCATTAGTCCAGCACAGACAAATTCCTAAGTCAGACAGGGCAGAACAGTTAACCCTACTTGACCATTTTGTCACACTGAATTCCCCATTTCTTATGAAAACTCTCTACATAGTGACCAATTCTTCAAAATTCTTACATGTTGGCAAAAGATTAAAAAATTCAAGAAATCCATTATATGGTTTTACTGGTTTTAGGTAACTAAATCCTGGGCAATATGTACTTTAAAAAGTTGGAGACATTTTAAAATAACTTCAAAAACATATAATGCACAGGCTGGGAATTATTTTCAGACCGTCCGTTTGTTGCTACCGTTATATACGTGTCAGGCGTCAAAAAGTCCAAATGCTAAGAATCCTCAAAGAGCTAAAAGCAGACCTTCCATCTTGCAGTCCCATCACTAGGAATCTAGAAAAAAAAAATGATGTTACCACAAGGACCTTTGCACCAGGATGTTTACTGCAGCTGAATTCATAATTGCCAAGACCTAGAATCAACCCAAGTGCCCATCAACCCATGAATGGATTAACAAACGATGGCAAATGTATACCATGGAGTACTAAGAAAAGAGGGAGACTTTACATCTTTTGTGTTTACCTGGATGAAGTTGAAACACATTCTTCTTACTAAAGTATCATAAGAATGGGGGGAAAGTACCCAAAGTATTCAATGCTAATATGAAACCAATATATAAACAAGCCTACACTAAAGAAAAACACTAGTCTAGCGACTAGAGGAGAGGACAACTGGTTGATCTCACCTACCCTGCATAATGTGAGGGTGTTCAGCACATCCCCTGGGTGAAGGGCCCAACTAAAATTTTAACTTTACCTTAGAAATGAAATCAATGTAACCTAAACAATTATACCCCCATATCAATCTGAAAGTTTTTATTAAAACATTAAGTACTATATAAAAAAAGAAAGAAAGAAAGAAACATTTAAAAATAATGTAACCTGGCCAGGCATGGTGGCTCACACCTGTAATCCTAGCACTCTGGGAGGCTGAGGCAGGTGGATTACCTGAGCTCAGGAATTTACACCAGCCTGAGCAAGAGCAAGACTCTGTCTCTTTGAAAAATTGAAAAACTAGCTGAGTATTGTGGCAGGCACCTGCAGTCCCAGCTGCTCTGTAGCTGAGGCAAGATCCCTTGAGCCAAGAGTTTGAGGTTGCTGTGAGCTATGACTGGGTGGCAGAGTAAGACCTAGGTGAGGGGCTCTTCTACAAATGGAACTTTGTCCTGGAAATGAGAACAAAGTAACCTAAATATTGTATCCTCATATTACTTTGAATAAAGAATAAAATAAAAATAAAAGTAATTTAATCATCAGAATGAGGATATTTTGTAAACAGTAGAAAGGTTGTTTGAAAAGAAAAATAGTGGATGACACCCGAGCAGGTAGAGACCAGGGTCCCAGGGCTGGGCTTGCCCACTGCGTGCTGCAGGGTCCCCTAGGCAAGGCTTACTTCCTCATCTGTGGAGACCAGGGTCCCAGGGCTGGGCTTGCCCGCTGCCTGCTGCCGTGTCCCCTAGGCAAGGCTCACTTCCTCATCTGTGGTGAGAGCCTCGCCTGGCAGTGCCAGTCTGCTCTAACACCCAATCTCTCTGTTATTTTTAACTCAAGGTGGAGCAAGCCAAAAGCCTTGCCTTTCTTGATATGAAAGCCAGAAAAGCATTGCCCGTTTCAGGTGGCTTTGAGGACCCATCTCAGGCCATAGTTGTATTTTATTGATCCACATAGATAAGAATTTTCTGGTAATGATATAGAGACTTTCATAGTAATTTAACAATCTCTGTTGAATCCCATAATTAAAGAGGCTTGTACTTTGCATGCCTTTGTATTTTTTCACATTTCTAATAATCATATTTTATTATATTTTATAAAAGCATAAGTCCATAGCAAATTAGAAATTTTTTTAAAATTGGTCTCTCACCGTGGATAGTTTGAGGCACGCTGAGAACTCGAGGACTATGATTACACGTTAATATCAATGCAGATGTGCACCCTACGGGAAAAGCTGAATGCAAAAATTATTTTTACCTTGCCTGCTTTGAATTTTATTTTAAAGGCCCATTTCATTTGAGCTCAGATTGTTGTTATTAAAAGTTATTTTCTGCTATATGCTTATAAACTGCTCGTAGCTCTTTAAAAGAAAAAGCCTGTACGTGTAGTAGAAAACAGGTGGTGAGGTTTGGTTTAGTCATACCAGCCCATCTTCTGAGAGAAGCCACGATGTGATACATCAGGCAACACACAAAGGTTGTTAATTTCCGATGGGAAAGGTAGGTACTTTCCTTTTTAAGAAGAGAATCGTCACTCCCCTCTGATTGGTAACAACTAATCATAGGGTTTCAAATTATTAACATAGAGATTCCTTTGTTTAAATACAAAGAAGGCTGCACAAGGAGGTTAGTTTTCCCCAGATCATGCAGCTAGTGAAAAGGAAAGTCCAGATACCCTGGGACACTGTTACCAGGTTTGCCCTGCCCTTTCTGCTGTCCAAGGCTCCTCCTCTGTAAAAAGTGTCCCAGTGGGTACAGAGAGTGAACCTCACCTAAGCTTCACTTCCAGGACCTGAAATAGGATGTAGACAGCTTATAAATCTCCCTAATATGCAGATGCCCCTGTTCTATTTAGAGCTTTCTGTGGATAGACAGGATCAACATTTGTTCCAAACTACTTTGCACATCATGCAGAAAAATGTAGGAGAGAAAATCAGTGTCCTCCACACTAGCTGTCTTGAGACTAGTTCAATGTAAATTACTAATAAACATGCCCCCGAAACAAACCACTTTGATCCTTTTAGGAAATAAGTGTGATGTCAATGAAAAATAAATGACCACAAATGGAACAGAAATATTTGCATGAAAAATTGAAATTGTTGAAATTGTTTGGCTCTCTTATCTGGACAATTCCAGAAAAGTCCAGATTCTTTTTAATATGGATAATACAAAATTTTTTACTTTACATTATTGGCATTGTTTAGTTTTCACTTAAGAGTACAGAATTTACATGGCTTCATTATTATTCACTAACAGATATTAAAATTAACAGCAGGCTGGCTATGATGGCTCATACCTGCAATCCCAGCACTCTGGGAGGCCGAGGTAGGTGGATCAATTGAGCTCAGGAGTTCAAGACCAACCTGAGATAGAGTGAGAACCTTTCTCTACCAAAAATAGAAAAACTACCAGACATTGTGGTGGGTTCTTGTAGTCCCAGCTACTCAAGGGACTGAGGCAAAGGATCACTTGAGCCCAAGAGTTTGAGGTTGCTGTAAGCTGTGATGCCACAGATCCCTAAAAAATAAATAAATGAAATTAAATAAAAATAAAATTAAATAAACAGTTTGGGGGCAGTTGCCATACTCTGAAACAATAAACAGAAATGTTATTGTCCTTACACATGCTTCTGACCTTTTTTATTGGTTATTTATTTTTTTGAGACAGAGTCTTACTCTGTCACCTTGGGTAGAGTTCTATGGCATCATAACTCACAGCAACCTCAAACTCTTGGACAATTCCCTGGCCTCAGCCTCCTGAATAGCTGAGACTTATGGGCGCCCGCCACAATGCCCAGCAAGTTTTCTTTTCTTTTTTTTTTTTTTTTTTAAGTAGAGACAGGGTTTTGCTCTTGCTCAGGCTGGTCTAAAACTTTTGAGCTCAAGGGATCCTCCTACCTTATCCTCTCAGAGTTCTGGGATTACAGGCATGAGCCACCACACCCAGCCTACGCTTGTGATCTTTTAAAGGCAGAGAATCATCCCTCAATTCTTAGCAGTATTGATTTAAAGTTAATATTTGATAAGGGAACCAAGCTGAAATGAGCCAGTTGGGTGAATGGGTGTGCCCACTTTAATAGGAGGAATCACTGAGATCAGAAAGAATCTCCTTAGCTTCTCTCAAGATAAATTTAAGAATAGAGGCCTGGTGTGAGAATATCATGGCGTTCGTTGGTTCTGAATCTTAGTCATTTCCTAATTCAGCCTTCAGCTCACATGCATGGACTAAGTTGGCCTTGGTCAGACTCTGTCCAGCCCTTAGCCCTTTTTGGCCCTTAGGACACAGATGGCATACACCAGTGACGCTCTGGGGTTGTGTGAGAGACAGTAAAGAAATAGAAAAATAAAAACAGAATAAAATCTAATTACATGGAGTTTCACTTAAAACAAAAATTGATGGAGTTCTGCCCAAAGTGGCTTGTTGTTTCCTGTGCCAGGAACTACTGTGTGACCCAGCAGGAAGTGGCCCCTGCGTGTCACCTTACACCTCAGCGCACGGTGCATTTCACTTACTTAATGCAATCTGAGAACCTGCGAAAGGAACATGTTAGGAGGAGGGAATCGCTTTTGTCTTGTTTGTTTTGGTTTTTTTTTTTTTTTTTGGTAAGTTTCTTTGAATCAAAACATTTGTTTTTACAAGGTGCCTAAAGTCCCAGAGAAGCAGGACTTCTAGAGTTGCATGGGGAAGACGTTTCTCTTTGTCACATAATTTAAACCAAGACGCAACGTTGAATTATGTCTAGAGTTGAGTTATGTCTGCTTCCTTGGCTATCCTGCTCCCATAATTTTAAACATGAAGAATTACAGCCATGCCCACGAATGGTCCAAATCATTCTGAATTCCATGTAAGCTTCTCCTTAGGGTCCCTGATCTGATACAGAGCTGATGGTATTGGAGGGCGGGGCATGAATGGGAGAAAAGGGATGTATTTAAGAAGCAAAATCGCGATTCACTCCTCAAGCAAAGGAGTGAGTTCATTTTACTGTGTGGCTTGGAGATGTGCAGGCTGAACAGCGGGATTTCCTGGTGCTGGCTCCGTGCGCTCCTCACATGCTCTCTGTTTCTCCCCCAGAGACCTCAGCATGAACAACATCAGCCATCTGCCCCCGAACCCGCTGCCCAGTCTCCGCTTCCTCGAGGAGCTGTAAGTATCCCGGGAGTCTGGACGCATCCAGGCAGCACTGGGCATGTTCTCTAGCTTGTCTCTCGTACTTAACTGTGGGAACCAGATAAAACGAGGCGGAAAACCTGTCAGCACTAACAATTTTGGCACATGAGGAAACACTTAGTTGGGGTGGTTGGGAGGGGCAGGTTGCTTATGATTCTGGAAATCAACTTATAAAAGAGTTTACCATAAGGCTACAACTTTCTAAGGTGAGACTGAGCCAAACAAATTAAAATTTTAAAACAAAGCCCATTTAAAAAAGCTGGATAGCTCTTTGGAAATAGTTAAGCAGCAGGATATTAAAAGTTTGAGTACTGGTTCATGTTTATTAAAATAGCGAAGTGAAGCTGTAATCAAAACCCAAACTGCTGGTTGGTTCCCCTTCTCGCAGGGAGCATTGAGTTCACATTGCACTGCGCCGAAACTGCCGGCCTGGTCACTTCTAATTACTGTTTCCCGACTTGTCTATTTAGCTTCCCTTAAGCCTTCAACAGAAAAACATGAGATCTTCAGAGGACTTAGACTGGCCTCTTCCAAACCCACTGTAAAAATAAATTAATTAATTAAAATTAAAAAGGAGGAAGCTAAAATTAGTTAATGATACACAGAGGAATTTTGATTAAGTCTAGTAATCACTTTCCAGAAGATGAAAAAGAACTGTATAAACCAAAAATGTGCATTTAAAACTCCGTTTGATCCTCTTACCCTCTTGAGTGATGGGGACTTAGGCTCTGATGCTCCATCATGGCCCTGGGAGGAACTCTCACACTATTAGTGGAGGAAATCCTCCTACTGTTGATTAAAGGAATTGTTTAGCCAGTGACCTCTGTTGGAAATACTTCCTTTACGAATCCTAAAGTCAGGCTCCAATTTGGGGAGTGATTTAAATTGTGGATGCACCACACCATCCACCATGGGAGGCAGAAGGAATATTCTGTCAGAACCAGATCACGCTGCATTGAAAAGTTTTCCAAAAGGAGAATATTCTTGCCAGTAGCTCAGTGGTTAGGGCACCAGCCACATGCTCCAGGTCTGGTGGGTTAGAACCCAGCCCAGGCCTGCTAAACAAAAAACAAACAAACAAAAAAATAGCAGGGCGTTGTGGTGGGCGCCTGTAGTCCCAGCAACTAGGGAGGCTGAGGCAAGAGAATCGTCTAAGCCCAAGAGTTGGAGGTTGCTGTGATCTATGATGGCACTCTACCGAGGGCAACAAAGTGAGACTCTGTCTCAATTTAAAAAAAAAAGGACAATATTCTCATATTTTTCCCCTCTGGAGTTTTGTCTATATTTTGAAGGAATTAAGGTATGATATTGTTTTACTAGTGAGATCATTAGATTATGACCAAATTGTTTTCAAGGGGCATTGTGGGGGAGTTTATGTCCTAGATTGCACCCCACATTTTTATCACTCAGGGAACGGATTTTCACTCCAGGTTACAGGCTCTTCTTTTTCCCTGTTCTCTTTTCTCTCTGAGTTTTTCCATTGTTGGGCCTTAACCTTCCAAAGGGCTGGACCATGTGCATCTTAGTCGTGGCTGATAGGTAATAAATAATCAATGCATTCTTCATAACTGACCTAATGAGAAAGAAATCCTGTGAGAAGAGCTTTTCATCAGTAGTACATGTTAAGTACCTTGGGACAAAGTAACAGAGTAAGTTGGTCAACATTTCTAAAGATTAAGTAATTTTCAAACATTAGGAATTCTTAAAATTACATCTTTCTCATTCTCCCTCCCCTCCTATAATTAAAATAGAGAAGTTAGCCTGTTCACACGAGTCCTCCCACAGTGTGCACCTGCATCCTTTTCTCTTTAATTTCCTTGTGATATCCCAGGGGACAGTGCTCCCTTGCTCTCCCCGTACACCTCAACTTTAGACCACAAACTGGATCAATAAATAATTCATTTCCCCAGGGACTTTGGTCTATAGAATTCTTCCCTCAGTGACCCAACTCATTCAAAATAACTCTTCTTTCTTCATGAGATGACTGTTAATTCTGTTCCATGGTCAGTTTTTCAAATAATAATTGGCAAAAATTATGAAACGGGGAATATGGGGAACAACCATTTGAAAATGCTAATTTTCTGAATTGCCTTATTCTTATCTATCTGGAAATTTCATCAAGTATCTTGATCATAGAATCACAGAATCTCAGAAATTGCAAGAACCTTTAAAGATAATTCCTTTCATTTTCTCATTCTGTTCTGGAATCCCCTCTGCAGAGCTAGCTGACTTACTGAATTGAAAATCGAGACCACTTTCTCATATAGAATTCTGTGTTGCATCCAACTGATGTTTTGAGGATATCATTATTCATTAAGTGGCAAAAGGCAACTCTGGTTGGTTTATTCCTTTTTTCCCAAGGCTAAGTTTAGGAGATTTGTGGGTTTTATTTTTGTTCTTTAAAATATCCCTTTAGCAGAGCATTTTGATTATATCCTTATTATGCTACTGGTCACTCTATGATATTTAGCTACGCTTGCATCTGTATTCTCTTTTAGAGTGTAAGAGCTTAGAAAATAATAAGTACTGTGTATAATGTGTAGCAGTGAATAGCTCACTTTGTCCCAGTCACTGTTCAAAGTGCTTCACACACCATCCCACTGAATTCTCGTAATAGCCCCATAAATGTAGGTATTATTATTGCTCCCAACTAACAGATAAGAAATCTAAAGTATAGAGAAAATAAGGAACTTACCCAAGATAATGGAGTTGGTAAGTATCAGGGCTAAGATTCAAACTTAAGTCAAAACTAAGATTCAAAATGACTGTCAAAGCTGGGCTTAGAACGTGGCGGGGTGGGGGAGGGGGTTGAGGAACTGTGCAGAGATATCTGCACTTGGCCTTTCCCCAGGAGTGCACAGCACAGCAGTCTCACGGTGCTTTGACAGGTGAACACTTCCCAGTGTTGTGACCTGAGTTGTGTAGTGATCACCTGTGTGTGTGTGTCCCTGTATGTGTCTGAGGGAGGAAATGAGAGAATCAGAAAGCCAGAAAGAGCTGCCTACCCAGGAGGGAGAAGTCGAAGATGCAGTTCTCAGTCCACTGCCATCATGTTAGACAAGTTAACGTCAGAATTCTCAAGTGCACATTTTGCCAGTCCAGCATTTTTCAACAGGTAGAAAAGCAACTAAAATATTTTTACATGTAAATATATATGCTTAAGTACCATGTTTTGTGTAATATTTTTCTTGAACTAACAAATGACCATGTGCACAGCTAGATGTAGATGTCTGGATATCTGTCTGCGTGTGTGTGAGGATGAGGACACTGTTTGAATTGGAAAGTCTTTCATTCAGCTTATTCAGCTCATCTCGGTGCCTTATCACCTCGTAAATTAAATAGGAAACTGCTACAGATACTCACAACAGTGTGATAAAGCCTCTATGACAAAACTCAGGCTTTGAAACTCTGTCTGAAGAAAAAACCTTCTGTGCTTCCCCTTAGCTCTGATTACCCAATATATTATTTACCCTCATTTAATTCATTTATCTATATGATAAACAGGGAAGATAACTGTGGCTTATTCCTCGCCCGTTGCTGGACTTTACCGAAAGTGCCATAGTTCGAAATCCTGTAAGAATCAATAAAGGCCTAGAGAGAGTCACTGGCAATGTTTGCAAACATGTTCCTCTGCAGAGAGTGACTGGCTGGCTGCCTGGAGCAAGGAGGTAAGAAGAACTAAAGCCCCCGCAGAAAAACATTCTTCCCCTCTCCCGCTCGATCTGGAGCACCTACCACCTGTGCTGCAAGTTTTGGAACATTCAGGTCTTGTTTATTTTGTTTCTTTTTTTAATGACCCATCATGGTGACCAGACATGCACAGGCCAGTCATCCCGCTGGTGGCAGTGGGCAAGCACAAAGAAAAGGAAAGTCTTTTCCTTCTTTTTCCTGTGCAGAAAAATAAGCAAAAAACAGGTCTAAACGCAGGCAGACTGTGCTTTGTACAAACACTCAGTATCTTGATCCAGAAGCTCAGGAATCCCATCCTGGTTCTGCCACTTACTAGCTGATAACCTAGTTAACCTCGCCGGGCCTCACAGGAAAATGGAGAGAGCCACCCTGCCTGTCTACCAAGGCGCTTCTGAAGAGCCAATGAAATGAGGATGAAAGAACTTCGGTCAACTGTAATTTACATATTGAGTTACATTAGTGAAATGAAGACACCTTCAGAAAGATTCCAACCTCCTTTCCTGTTTCAGAAGCTTGACTTGGCAGGAATCCCAGGGATCTGGGACTGGGGGAGGAAAAGCTGTTTCCTGAGCGTTAGTGGACAGAGGCGATGATGGTGATGGTTCTTTACCAGATTCTAACCACCGGAGAGCCACTGAGTTTCTCTCCACCAGCACCTATCCCAGCCCTGTTTGTTCACCTCTAAGGACTTCGTGTTATGCTTGGGGAGAAATAAAAGACCCTGACAGGGCGCAGGTCACACCTGTAATCCCAGCATCCGGGAGGCCAAGGCAGGTGGATCACTAGAGCTCAGGATTGGAGAGCAGCCTGAGCAAGAGCAAGACCCCGTCTCTACTAAAGACAGAAAACCTCGCCGGGCACTGTGGCGGGTGTCTCAGCTGTTCAGGAGGATGCGGCAAGAGGATCGCTCAAACCCAGGAGTCTGAGGTCGCTGTGAGCTGTGACACCACAGCAGTCTGCCCAGTGTGACAGAGTGAGACTGTCTCAAAATAAAAAATGATCCTCTATCTGGCACATCAGAGTGTGGTCCAGATGTCAGGCATTCATGGCAGATGGCCACTGAGGCGACTTGTATGTGCCTGCTGCTGGCGTCTGCAGGTTATATTAAACTCACACTGGTAGTCTGATTAAACCAGAGGAGAAAGGAATTGTTACCATTTTAAACACTCCAAGTTAAAGGCCTTTATTTCCGAGTAGCATTTTTAAATCTTCCCAGATTCTAGTGCTGTTGGAATCAAATACTTGATTTAGAAAAGAAACATGAGAAGCTCTAAGGAGGTCTGTTT